AGGTCAGAGGTCAAGGGTCAGAGTCAATTTCAGGAGGCATCTTCACTGTAGTATTTGTTGTTGCTTGCTTTGCTTTTAAATATTTTCTGAGATTATTCACCTAAGCAGATAATTAAAAAGAATGCATATTAAAAATGATAAACCAACAACTTAAGGAGACATAAAATATCAGTCTCTTCTACAAGAAATGTGTAATTGTGTGTGGTCATACTTCATTGTTATCATCCCCTCATTTCTAGGCCCAAAATCCAGAACATTATAGCCAGAATGTCCTTTACCATGAGTCCAGGTGAGACTATTTGGAAAGCAGGAAAGACATGAAGGGCCTTCTCTGTGTGTAACATGTCTGCAGTAGAATCTCTCACTGGGACCTTGGAACCTGGGACCTTTCCATTTGGCCAGGCTGGCTGGCCAGTGAGCCACAGGGACCTGTTTCTGCCTGCCTCTCTCTGCCACTGGATTACAAGTATGCAATCAATACAGAGGTTTTTATTTTGTTTGTAGGCTGTTGGTGGGGGTATATAGTATATATATAAAGAAATTTGAAAATAAATGGATAGAGTCAGAAAAAAGTCATCCTGAGTGAGAAAACTCAGACTCAACAAAACCCTTACTACATGTTTTCTCCTGTGAGTGGATGTCAGCTTTTAGGATTTAGATATGTATGTTTTAATCCAGATAATCATATAGATTAGGTACATAATAAAGGGAGGGACCTTTCAAGGAAGGGAGACTCGAGTATAGTGTTATGAAGAGATAAGGGGAAACTAGAATAGGATGGTTAGATGGCAGGAAGATGGGAGGGCACAGTGAAGGAGGAAATATGAGGTACAACTAACGCTGAAGACCCTTTGAAAAGCCATGTGTACCAGCTTCCCAAAAAATATACATATATGAAGGGAATTTAAATGGAGTTGTCATATAATGAATGACAAAATGTCCTACATAGACACTTTCTTTATGACATGAAGTAAAACCTCCAGTGCCAGGAATGAATCATATCTTGTTGAGTGATTGGTCAAAAGAGTGACATAGAGCCCATCCCAATCATCACAGACTATTTCCAAGGCTATATATACTGTATATATATATATACATATATATACAAAATACACTTTCTTCTTAGCAGTCATGGATGGCACCGTCCCCTAAAACTGACCACATTCCAGGCTAGTGGTTCTCAACCAGTGGGTCGCTCTCCCTTTGGGGGTCAGACAGCCCTTGACCAGAGGTCACTTTTCAGATAGCCTGCATATCAGATATTTACATTGTGATTCACAACAGTAGCAAAATTAGAGTTATAAAAATAACAACAAAACTAATTTTATGGTTGGGGGTCATCACAACATGAGGAACTGTATCAAAAGATGGCAGCATTAGGAAGGTTGAGACCACTACTCTAGGCCACTAAGAAAGTCCAAACAACTACAAAAGAGACATAAACAGCAACACAAAAACTGTACAAATATTGAAGTCTGAGTGAGACACACTTGAACAACCAGTGAGTCAGTTAAGAAATTGAGGGAGGGGGCTGGAGAGATGGCTCAGTGGTTAAGAGCATTGCCTGCTCCTCCAAAGGTCCTGAGTTCAATTCCCAGCAACCACATGGTGGCTCACAACCATCTATAATGAGATCTGGTGCCCTCTTCTGGCACACAAACATACATGGAAGGAATGTTGTATACATAATAAATAAATAAATCTTTAAAAAAAAAGAAATTGAGGGAAAAAATTTAAAAATTCATTGAATCAAAAGCAAATGAGAACACAACTTGTCAGAACCTTTGAGATCCATCTCAGATGGTTCTGAGAAGAAAGTTAACAGTTATGTGTGCTTACATTAAAAAGGCAGAGGCACCTTACATAACACATAAATGATATGAGTCAAAGTCATGGAAAAAGAAGAATGAGCGAAACCTCACGAGTTGTGAAGAAGTAATAATTATTAGGGCAGATATTAATGAAATGGAAAACAAAATAACAATATGTAGACTCAAATGGCAAGGTGGTTCTTTGAAAGAAATAAACAGGATTGACAAATTCTTATCCAAACTACTCAAAACAAAGACCCAAATTAATAAAACCAGAAATAAAGAAGGTTGCCCTAATAGATGCCAGTGAAGACCAAAAGTTGACTAGCAAATACTTTCAAAGGTTATATGCTTTAAACCTGGAAAATATAGAAGTGATGAATAAATTCCTAGACAAATCTGATCTCAAGTTGTGTCAAGAATACAGAAACATTTAAACAGATCTAAAAGAAGCAATGGGGTTGAGGCAATAATAAAGTCTCCACACAAAGTCCAATGGGGAGATGGATCAGTTGGTAAAGCACTTCCAAGAGTTCAGGTCCCCAACACCCACATAAAAAGCCAGGCACAGTGTTGTGTTTCTGAAATTGCAGTATGGTGTGTGGGGTGAGGGTGGAGTTATTGTCTCCAAAATAAACAACAAATAAATCAATTCATTAACTGATTAATTAATACGTAAATAAGATGGGGAGCAGGTGAGTGAGAAAGATACTTGACACTCATCTTTGTCATCTTTGGCCTCCACACACACATAAATCACATCCAAAAGAAAAAAGGTAAAATAAAGATAGAAATAGAAGTCCAGAACCAGACATATTTATCTCTCCAACATTTAAGGGAGAATTCATATCAATACTCCTTAAACTGCTCTACAAAATGCTAAGAAAAATACTAGCAGATTAATTCTACAAACCCAGTATTACCCTAGAACTAAGACCAGATCACAACACAACCAAACAAAAATAAAACAACAGACTAATTCCCCTAATAAACACAGGCACAGAAATTCTCAATAAAACACAAATTGAATTCATGAGGGCATGACGAAGATTATACTCCACATAACCACCTTGGTTTTATATCAAGCATTCAAAGTTGGTTTCAACATATAACATATGTGTAACCTAGTATGTGTAATATAAATTTAGGGACAGAAATCATGTGATTTAAAGGTTTCTTAGCTCTCCTCTCCAGACATGTTTGTTCAGCGTTTGTATTCTTGGCTCGTTTAGCATGACCTTCCTATAGCATGACTTCCGTGCTTGTGTTTGGAAACATGTTTTTAAACAGCTCAATTTTGCGTCTGACATCACTGAACAAAGATATATGTGCTGTTCTGCTGGAACCTGCCTCTGTGTGTCTCCATTCCTCACGAAAAAGTGGCTGCATATCATCTCATAGACGGTGCCTGACAAGTGAACCCTTGCAACGAAAGGAAGCCAGGGGCTGTGGACACCTCATTCCGCTCTCACCTCTGCAGCCTTTTAGATGCTCACACGCTGTCCACCCACTACAGATTTATAGCTGTTTTAATGTCACCTCTCTAGTTCTCCCAGTTTTAATCGACAGATTGATCAACATGACCACGACCACAGCCATACAGACCAGGCAGAAATAGTAGGCTCAGAATCAAAACAGCTGGCTGCACTGGCAACTCCTTCCAGTTGTGTTAGCAGGGGCAAACTACTAAATGCTCCTGCATCCCTTTGCTGGTGTGGATGTGGTGGTGGGATGTCCACGGTAGCTGTGATGCTAAAAGGAAGGGATGGACAGAAAGGAAGTTTGACACATGCTGCCACTGCGAGGTAACACCAGCACGCATAGAGAGCGGCCTCTCAATGAGTTTCTTTCTTGGTGTCATTTCCTACAGTCGTGGGTGTATTTTAACACCTCCCCACTAGATACCACACAAAATAAATAAAATAGCTTAGTGTCCCATAAGGAAGCTGAAGAGAGGAAATTGGAGTCTTGGAGTATCTCAGAACCATTCTGGTTCCTGAGTTCTTTCTGAAGGACCTGGCATTTCATGGCCAGCATCTGGGACCACTGGGAGATCGAGAAAATGAGGCAGACAGTATGCTAACCCTCAATTTCTGCTTTGTCTGAACTAGCAATATGTCAATGAATTGGTTTCTTTGTTTGTGGGGTCTAGGGGGAGCGTTGTTGCTGATGTTTGGAGTTCTTGCTTGTTTGTTTTTAGCCAGAGTCTGTCTCACTGTATAGTTGAGGCTAGCCCCAAGTTTATACTCCACGTATCTCAGTCTCCTGGTGATGGGAGTGCACACAAGCACCACACGCCTGCCTCATCCAATCTATTTCTGTGTGACAAACCTTCCAGTCCCTTTTTCTAGATTGAGAGGGCAGACCACAACAAAAGACATGTGTTCGAATCCCTGCTTTACACCTGGGAACAGAGACCTAGAGAATGGGCATAGAATAGAAACAACGAATCCATTAGTGCCACGTAGGCCTGCAGCCAAGATGTATTTCTTCCAGATTCCATGCCAGTATCATGTCTGCCAAATCCCTCTTCATGGCACCTTAAGGCTTTGTCTCTACCTTATGACTGGAACTAAAATCAGTCATTGGCCAATGGGAGTGGGAAGCCACATCAAAGACTCCAAGTCAAAGAAGTGGATGAATGGCCGATTTAACTTACTTTCACCCTCCAGGCCAAGCGCCCTGCCCAGGGCTGGTCCCTTGGCATTTTCTAATCAGCACAAGGATTCTGTGTTGACTAGCCGCAGACTGGCTAGCCATGGTCTTCAGCATGACCAACACAGAGCGCTAAAGCCTTGCTTCTTGCTCCTGACCCTCCTCGGAGAGTTCCCGATTCAGTCTGCCTGCATACTAGTCCCAAGAAAGAACACAGACTGGCGAGTTAGAGATGAAGCCCATCTGTTTTGTTTGTTTTGCTTCTCTATAGGCTACGTCTTCTAAGTTAAGTAGGACTGGAAACTGTAATAGCTAGTTCAGGCCACTAGGGTGCCATTTAGGAAATGACTTCCTCAGTAAAATGGTGTAAATTACCATTGTAATTTAAAGAGAGTACGCTACTCTTGCGCAGATCAGTGCTTCAAGGCAGTGGGATCATCTAATGCATGCCGCTGAGTGGCATCCGAGTGACCTGTGATCCTTAATGCTCCATCTAAGTGCTCCACAAGAAGGAGGAGGCATTCGTACTGGAGAGAACATTCAATTTAATTACAGTCTGGGAAGAAACAGACCAAGCATCTTTGGGGGGCCAGGGAGTCCCCCCTCTCTTCTGTAAGTAGGACTGATCTCAAACCACCACAGGCACACTGTATAACTGTTTCCAGGGCAGACCATACAAAGTGCTGAGTAGCCCCGCAAGTTTTTGGTGGGGGGGAAGCCTTTGACAGAGGGGAGGGAGGGAGTTTGAATGGTTGATACAATAGTAGGTCTTAAAGGCATCCGAATGGTCATTCGTGCCAACAAGAAGGAAGCTTTATCAGTGTACTGGCATGGCTTCCTGTTGGTATGCGAATGATGCCCAGGAGACCTCAGACGTGATGATCCTCCTCAGTTCAACGAACTGCTGTGTAAGCGGGGAACTGTTACTACTTTCGGCATCCATCTTATACATTCATAATTACCGCCAGTCTCCCAGTAGATCTCCGCAACGTCAATTTTACCTCCCGTCTTTCTGAAAACATTTGTCTTTCTCCCTGAAATCTTTAAAAAAAACATTGTAACACACCAAAACACGGGAGATGATCTGTCTTTGCTAAATGGGGCTGTAATAAATCAGTCCCTTCTAAATAATGAACGTTCTGGAGATGGATGGATGCCTAAGTAGCTTTTCAATCTTTTTTTTTTTTTTTTAACAAAATCATTCAATTTGGGCAACTCTTGCTAAAGGAAAACGTTCTCCTCATCTTCACACCACGTAAGGGGAACTGCCGAGACACATTTCTAGTCTGTCTTTCTCTTACTTTCCCACCCCATGAAGGAGGACAATTCATTTAATCTATGATCAAATAGAATTTGTACAGGACTTCTACACGCCGTCTAATCTGCAATGGGCTGAATCGTATATAATTTGGAACTGGAGAGCTTTGGGGTGTATACTTGTCTAGAGACAGGATCTCCACAGGTGTAAGCAAGTTGAACACCCTGGCTAGATTTTAGTCAACTTGACACAAACTAGAGTCACGCGGGAAGATTCCTCTACTCGGGAATTGCTTCCATCAGACTGGCCTGTAGGCAAGCCTATGGGGCATTTTTCTTGATTAATGATAGTTGTGGGTGGTCCCAGCCCACTGTGGGCAATGCTATCCCTGGATGGGAGGTGCTAGGTTGAAACCAGACAGGGCTGAATCTTATAGATACCATGCTTTTCCTGCTCATAGAAGCCTCTAGTAACCCTCAGTTTTGCTATACTGGGTTATCAAGGACAACACGATGAAACAGTTACAACGTAGCTTGTCACAGAAGGTGTGTGAATGTGAGCTCTCCCTCTGAACAGCTTGCTGTGTCCCATCTTGTGAATGACTGAGATGCTCCAACACCTGCAAGATGAGATGAAGTGAGTTGGTGATGGAGGCACAGTGACAAAATGGGGTGTCATCTTGATGGGATTTCGAATTGCCCCGAAGATACACCTTTGAGCATGCCTATGACAGTGTTTCCAGAACCCTCTCTGAATATGAGTGGTGCCCTCCCATGAGATTGAGGTCCAGGACTGAATTTTAAAAGGGGAAAGAGAAATTGAGTTGAACACCAGCACTCATCTCTCTCTGCTTCCTGACTGCGGATGCAATGACACCAGCTGCTGCATGGTGCCACCACCGCACCTTCTCCACCGCGGTGGACTGTATTCATCCGGACTGTGAGGCAAAATAACCCTTTCTTCTTTAAGTTGCTTTCTGCCAGATGTTTGGCCACAGCAATAAGAAAGGTGACTACTATACTTAGATTTTCCACAAAGGCTTCCTGCATTCCAGTGGCTTCGCTGGCTGGGTGCAGTGACTTCCTGCACTCCAGTGGCCTCAGCAGTGGCTTTGCTGACTGTTGGGTGGTTGTTGGCAGGCAGAAAGCACAGTGTGAGGTACATACTACACAACGGTGCTTCTCATCTCTGTACGACAGCCTGAGATTTCATCATTATTACGCTGTTCTAAATATATGAACAAGACCTTGCCTCAAAACTAAACTAAGCCAAACATATGAGCTGCTTATTTCTAGGGGAAGCCTTGATTCCCTGTTCTGTTTTCTGGCAACCGGGGCACAGTGAAGTCTTTGTCACTCTTAGTCCCTATTCCATCTCCGAGACCTCTGTCCTGCAGCAAGGCCAAGTGGGTGGGGTTCAGGACGGACCCATGGGTCTAGACAGGGAGGCAGGGACTCTCTTCCCCCTATCTAGCCCCAGTGTGCCGTCCCTGGTGCTTCTCTGGAATTTGGTGCAGGCTGCCCCTTGCACATCTCTCCATGTAGTTACAGTCTGGGAGGTTCATGACTTTCAGTTGTAATAGACTGTGACCTGGCTCAGCCTCATGCTAACGACACTGCTGTCAAATCCAAAGCTACCGGTCTTCTGTGTTGGGTTGCTTGCATGCTTATTATTTATGCCCGGTGGTCCCTCCATTCAAGCCCTGCCATCATTTTGAGTAGCCACTGTTATCCATGGTCTCCTAACTCCATCTCCTTCTCCACCTCATTCCAGCTGTCCCTCCCATCTGTTCAGCCGAAGCGGTTCAAATGCCAAAGTGCAAAATCCATGGATGTCATCCCTGTCCACAGCCTGCAGTCTGCCCACTCCAAAACATCTGCCTTCCGCCATCATTTCCACTCTGGATGGGAATGCTCATGCTTCCTTTTCCTCCCTCAGTCCCTCCAGGGGATGCTTACCCTCTTTGCTCAGGTCACCCAAAGCATGACGTTCTTAAAGAAAAGTCAGAATTGCAGAACCACCATCCAGTAGTGATTGTGAAGAGTGGGTGAATGTGTCTCGGGTACAGCATCTTTTCCACAGGTTACATGATCAGTTGCATAGGAGCACACACATGTGCATGTATGACTGCTGAAGTTAGAACAGGGCCTGGGTATTGTAGCAATATAGTTTATTAGGTTTGAGATTGTACTGTAGTTAAAAGATGCTACATTGGAGAGCACATGGGACCTTCTTGGAAATTCTCTCTTCTCTTTCTCCTCTCTCTCCCTCTTCCTCCCTCCCTCCCTCCTTCCCTCCCTCCCTCCTTCCCTCCCTCTCCCTCTCTCCTTCCCTCCCTCTCCCTCTCCCCCCCCTCTCTCTTTCTGCATGCCCTTGTGAATCTATAATCATTTTCAAACAGATAAAGCATTCAAATTTAATTCCCAACCTGCGATCAGTATTGAATATGCAGCCCAGAGCTCACCCAATCTTCATGTCTTCATGCAGCTGAGGAGGGGAAATGAGACCAACAGTTCCTATCTCTATTGAGGAAAACCAGAGTCTGTGTGAGATGCCAGGCTGCCCAACAGGCCCTGCCAACCCTGGAGTTGGAATGCAGCAACTTCCCTCCGTGATAACTTGCTCACCTCTGAGAAGTCCCTGAGAGACTCTGGCATGGCAGAGTCCCTGTATGGGCTCTCCTGGCTCCTTGAAAGTCTTTTCATGAGGTTCAAAAGATCTTATCTTCTTCATTAAGTGACAAGCTCAAAGTTGTCTTCAATCTTGTTTAAGTCCTCGGCCTCATGTGTTGGGACTAGAACTTGGGAATCATTCAGTATGAATTTTTTAAATGAGTGAATGGCTGGGAGGGCTGCCTTTAAGCAGCACCAGTGACTTGACTTGTCATTTTAAAAACAGACCTTTTAGAACTTATTACCGAATACAAACAAGAACAATGGGGGCTGGAGAGATGGCTCAGAGGTTAAGAGCATTGCTTGCTCTTCCAAAGGTCCTGAGTTCAATTCCCAGCAAACACATGGTGGCTCACAACCATCTGTAATGGTGTCTGGTGCCCTCTTCTGGCCTGCAGGCATACACACAGACAGAATATTGTATACATAATAAATAAATAAAATATAAAAAAAAAAGAACAATGTAGCTCTCTTGTTTCCCCATTACCAACATCGTATCTCAGTCTGGTAGATTTGTCACCATCACTGAACCAGTTTTGGTGCGTTGTGATGAACAGAGGCCACACTTCATTCGGGTTTCCTCCCTAAGGTTAGCTCATGTATATGTTGCATCTGATCGTCATATCGTCTGTGACTTCTCATGGGTGTGATAATTCATAGACTGTATTTTTTAAAGCCTTCATACATTGAGAATTTGGAATTAGTTGTTCTGTAGATACTCTTTTAATAGAAAATTGGGATATTTTTCCCCACAATTAAACTAAGGTGATGTGCTTTGAGGAGGAAAAAGTGGCAGAGGGCCTTCCTCACCATACTCTGCCGCCATGATGGCTGTTGACAGTGACTTTGACCCCAATGACCGACCAGGTGTCAGCCTCTCTGTGGTGGAGTTTCTCCTGTCCCTCACTCCATACTGTCTTCGTTGCACGAAAGCCACAGAACATAGCTCGCACTTGCTTCCTCCTTGATGGCAGAGATGCGCCATGCACCATAACGCTTCTGCTCTGCCCCGACGCCCCTCGTTTCCCATCAGTGTGAAGACTTTTTTGTGTGAACACTTCCTTATTTACTGATAGATGCGCCAGCCTCTGTCTATGTCTCCCCTCCTGCAAGTTCTAGATTCAGTCATTCTCTCAGGAACACTGGTTGCTTCCACTGAAGAATCATATTAGAAATCAATATCTATACACTACACAGGCTCAAGGCTGCTGGGGACTCATGGCAGTTGAGCCATCTCGGATGACAGGTGAGTAGATATACGTGTGTGTATACTGACCTGGGTGCATATCTGTATTTCTGGATGCAACTGTCTCCATCTAAGAAAGACTTGTGTTCATGTGGTGTCCCAACCTCTAACCCGGCCCCATGCAGATCCTTTCAGCCCCTCCCCTACTTATTTGTAACTCCTCGTTCCTGCAGGGAGAAAGGTAATTTTCAACATCTGCTTAATATACTTCATTTTTTAAAAAAAACCCTCATGCATACACAAGTTTCGGGACTGTCAAGCCACACTGCGTGGGAAGAGCTTTATCACCTTGCACCCTTAGTTTTGTAAAACTCTGTGTCAGCTTCGGTCATTGTAACTAAATACTGAGAAAATCCATTTAAAGGAGGAAGGTTTGTTTTGGCTCATTGTGTCAGAGGGTTCCATCCATGGTTGACCGGTTCTGCTGCTTTTAGGCCTGCAGCAAGGTAGGAACTCAGAGTGGATGGGAGTCTGCTCGTTGAACATGGGCAGGAAACAGACAGGAAAGGACCAGGACAAGATACACACATCAGATGCATGCCCCAAGTGACTTACTTTCTCCAACTTAGCCCTATCCCAACTGTCATGGGGCTATGAATTCATTCATGGAGAAGTCCATTGCTGAAGGTAGAGAGCCAGTGACCCCATCACCTGTCCACGGCACTGCCACCTGGAGACCAAACCTTTAGCTCATGATAATGGACTTTTTGGGGGGGACAATGGGTCCCACTGGTTTCAAACGCGATCCGTTCCCCCACTTTATTCTTTGCTGCCATCGGTGAGACTCTTCTAGACATCTGTGTTCTGTGTAGACCCTTTGGTACCATCTTACATCTCATCCTGGGTTCCCCCAAATTCTCATTTTAAAAAAATGTAGCTGAGATTCACTTTATAACATAAAGTTTATAGAACTCCTTCACATGGCTTGGAAAGATTCGTGAGTTCTATACTATTTGCCCTACAAAATACCCTATCCGTCACCTGCTCAACTTCTATTGTCAACTTTGGCCACCACTGGTACCTCCATTGTCTCCAGGTCTTTGCTTTCATGACTGCCATGGGGTTGGAACGGTACAGCATGTGGCTTTCTGAACTGACTCCTTTCAATTAGCAATGCCTATGTAGTAAGATAATCCATAACATTTTGTGGCTTGCTATTTCAGCCTTCTGGTTGCTGAAAATGATCCTATCATGTGGACTTACCTCACTGTGTCTCTCTGTTCCCCACTCAACTATAAAATATTGATTTTTTTTTACAGTGTGGGACAATTATGAGTAAAGCCATTGTAAACATTTACACCAAGGGTTTGGGGTTGGACAAGTTTGAGTCACCTGACCATGGCCTCTGAATCAGAGATGGGACTGCCTAGTACTATTTAAACACCTACCAGATTCTCTTCTGAAGTGTTGGTGTCATTTTCATTTCCATAGCAACGGTGAACGAGCGCACCTCCTGCTCCTCCTCTCCTTTGGTAGCCGGTATCATCAGGTTTGTGATGAGGGTTATCATTTAGAGGTGTGGGAGGGCATCTAATTATAAACAGTCATTGGAACATAATTAGCAGTTCTCCAATAATAAATGATGGGGAGCTACAGATGACCTACTCTGAAGCTCCATCTGGGCAGATGTCTCCATTTTGAACTTGCTTACAACTAATGGTCATATTGATTCAGAAACATGATTCAACCAGAGGCTTAGGGCAAATCTTAGCTGCTAGTTTTTGCTTGTGGTATCCACAGGGTCATCGCATAGTTTTGGGTTTTTTTTCTTTTTTATTTAATTAAAATTTTATTTTACATTCCAACCCCAGTTACATTGCTAAGAGATTTTTATCACCAAGATTAGATCTTCTATTTTCAAACAAAACTATCTTGTGTGTGTGCTAACTCTTTTTTTTAAATATTTATTTATTATGTATACAATATTCTGTCTGTGTGTATGCCTGCAGGCCAGAAGAGGGCATCAGACCTCATTACAGATGGTCGTGAGCCACCATGTAGTTGCTGGGAATTGAACCCAGGACCTTTGGAAGAGCAGGCAATGCTCCCAACCTCTGAGCCATCTCTCCAGCCCTGTGCTAACTCTTGAAGCTTTTTTATTTCCTCCATCTACGCATCCCTTGCTGAGTTGACCTAAAATCTTGGCCTGATCCAACAGTACACCCTGAATTGATCTATATGCAGGGAAAGCTTGTCTTTTTATAACACGCTGATAACAAGTACCTTATTGTACTTAAGTGTCTAGTTAACCACACCCCCGGTTCTAATTATTAAATCATGTGACTGGAGTTAGTAGGCAGCATTCTTAGCCTCAAAGGCAGGCAGCAAGCTTAGGTAAGTAAAAAGCAGCGGAGCAAGAGTAGTTGACGGCTGTATTGATCACACGTTTGATTAGACTAATAAGGACAGATGGATTCAACTTGATCCCGGTGATGAAGCCCCAGAGAGAGACACCATGAAGTCTTGCTTTCTGTATATGCAGAGCCATCCTGGTTGGTCTACGCCCTTTGCAGGCTGATAGCTGGGGTTTATTTTGTTCTTGCGGTTGATGAACCAACAGAGGCTCATGGAGTAGAGAATAAAGCAACATTTGAGACATTAGACTACTGATCCTAGCCTCAGCCCTCCGTCAGCTTGCCAAGCCTGTTTCTTCACACCTGCTGCAATCCCGGCCTTATCAAGACTAGATAGCTACCAGGTATAGAACAGCCCCACCGTCCGGCAGAGCAGTCGCCATGAGCAGCCTGAACCAGCACAGGATTGAGCTGTTTTCCAGTAAATAACAGTAGCTGTAATTTTGCTACTGTTACGAATCATAGTGTTAAGTATCTGATATATAGGTATCTCATGTGACCCCCATGAAAGGGCCGCAACCCACAGGATGAGCACCACGGCTCTGCAGGGTTCCCTCAGCCCTACTCACGCGGCTGCTGCTCAGGTGTCCTGCTGCCCTCTCTGACAGTGGTAGTCACCTGTAATTCCATAGTAATGATTATAGCATACAGCTGAGACAACTGGGAAGGTTCAGATCCTCCGTATCCTGGAGTTGCTGCTATGTCTCTTGAGCTGGGCTGCTCCTTGGCTCTTGGACATGTAGACCCAGGAGTATAAGACTCATCAACTCTTTCATTTTTAGAGCTAGAATTCTTGGCTTCACATGAAATTTCCTGACATGAAAAGGTTGGCTGAAACTTTTTAAAAACTGTATCACTGAGGGTAAACCTGGGCCACATTGCAAGTTTCTGTTTTTAAAATCTAATTAATTAATTAGCCATCAATCCTATGTTTCTTTGATGCCTGCTATATTACATCTTACCATATAATCTATAGATTAACTCTTCACATATAGGTGAACCCCTGATTCAGCTAAAGAAGAAACAGTTCATATATCAATGAAAAGTTAAGTTACAGATTATAATGGTGGCACAGAACTATAAAAAAGGCCATGAAATCTGAAAGCACACAAAGAAATATTAATAATCCATAGGAAAAGCAAAGTTTTCCAAGGACACCAAAAATACCCTTGCCAGAACTTGTGAGATCTGTCTTTCCAGCGCTTTACAAATGCGTAGAGAAATTGGTGAGGAGTGAGGCCCAGTGACAGAGTGCTTGCCTGAGGCTCTAGTTTGGATCTCAGCCCCTCAAAAATGAACAAATAAGTGAAATGAATAGAATATGAATATTTGCTTTACACATTATAAGCTTAAGCAATAAAATTCAAAAACTGAAGTTGTCCATTTCTTTGTAAGAAACTTGACAAGACTGGAAGAGCCTTCTCATTCATTGGTGGAGATGACACACAGGCCAAGTGGCCTTGCTGTGTCTCAGGCCTCAGTGAGCTCCTAAGTTAGGATCCCTTCGGCTTGCTGCTTCTGGCTT